TGCGCCGTATGATGAGAGAGAGAGGGGGGGGGGGGGAACCCGGAATAAAAAGAAGGTTGAATTCTATTTTAGTGCAGACTTGCTTGAAGGACATCGTGGTGAACATGGATTAAAAGGAGAGTGCAGAAAGGGCCAGTGCTCACTCCGGGATATGCCAGGGCAGCTTCTCTCTCCCGTAGTTTACGCCCCTGCCTAGAGGGGTGTAACATGGTTCATTTCTCCCTCTTCGGGATGCTACTGAATTCCTCACTCCTGCTGGTTCAACTCAGCAAGGCCCATCCCAGTTTGTTTCTTCTCAGCAGAAACCGAACCCCGCAGCTTTTTATTTTTGCACCATTTTCTATTTCCTGCTGCATTTTCCTGCTGCAAGCATTTTAAAATGGTATTTATGCATCATTTGCATATAAATGGTGAATAAGTGGCATATCAATTGTGCATAATGCATCAACATTGATTTAAAAGCATATGAATGGCATAAAAATAGCTGTTAAAATGGTGTAAAAGAACTCAACTACTTGGGACCACCGACAGTCAAAAAGGGCTCAGAATGGCAACACACAAAAATAAATGAAAGAAGGGGCATCTGCCCTTTCCTGCAGACACTGCCATGAAGCTCAGCCCCAGAAAACTTGAATGCTACAAAGCGGAGGAGCAATCAATAGAACTAATTCTCAGCATGGCTTCATCGGCTGATACTTTAATCTGGAGACTGGAGCCATACACAGACAAGGAAGATCTTTCTACAAACTTGAAAAAGGCCCAGGTTTGCAGAAAAATCTTAAATATTTGAAAAAATGGGGGGGGGGTATTAAGTCCAAATAATAAACGTAGTGCCTGCAGCTTTAAAAACTAACAGCATCAGTGTCCATTGCTAGGCAACCACAATAGTATTGCCAGTCTTCAAGCCTTAGTTTCCTTCAGTAAAAGGTAGAGGGAGGGGGCAGGGCCCTTGCCATGGCTGTGTTGGCCTTGGTGGTGGATACCCTGCCCTTCACTCGGAGTCTGAGAGTGGTTTACAAACTCCTATCCCTTCCCCTCCCCACAACAGACACCCTGTGAGGTAGGTGGGGCTGAGAGCTCTTTCCAGAACAGTCCTTGAGATAACAGCTCTGACAGAACTATGGCTTGCCCAAGGTCATCCAGCAGCTGCAAGTGGAGGAATGGGGAATCAAACCCAGTTCTCCCAGCTTAGAGTCCACACACTTAACCACGACACCAAACTGGCTCATTGCGGCCAAGCCTGGCAGCAACCACTGAGAAACTTGTTATCACATGACTTGGATGACTCACCTAGGACTAGGTGCTCATAACTGTTCAAAAGAAGCTACCTCACAAAAGTGTTGGGTATTTGCATGTTGAAAACACTCAATGTGTGTGTATAGGGTTAAATGTCTGTTCTGTTGTTGCAGGAAATCACCTGTCTTTGTGTTAGCCAATGTTAGCTCAAGTCTGTTAGCCCGCGAAAAGCATCCATGTTCAGAGAGTTTGATTGGGAGCAAGGTATTAGTAACTTTGCATTTTATGGCCCCTCTTCCCCTCTTTGTTCGTCTTGGAGAAGAAGCATGTGAGAGGGTCCATCTTCCAGGTTCTTCTAGTCTAGAGAGGATGTAACTGATTTAGCTCTCTGTTATTTTCTCCCAAGTTTACCCTTCCCTATGGTAGAATTGTAGTAAACTTTTATATTTTTAAACACACATGGACTCTGGATCTGATTATTGAACTCTGGCATTGCTAAGCTGTTTTTTAACTCTGCTGACAGAACTATGGCTTGCCCAAGGTCATCCAGCAGCTGCAAGTGGAGGAATGGGGAATCAAACCCAGTTCTCCCAGCTTAGAGTCCACACACTTAACCACGACACCAAACTGGCTCATTGCGGCCAAGCCTGGCAGCAACCACTGAGAAACTTGTTATCACATGACTTGGATGACTCACCTAGGACTAGGTGCTCATAACTGTTCAAAAGAAGCTACCTCACAAAAGTCAGTGTGGTATAGTGGTTAAAGTTACAGACTAGAATCTGGGAGACCCAGGTTCAGATTTCTACTCTGTTGTGAAAGCTCACTGGGTGAACTTGGGCCAGTTAAACATTCCCAGCCTAGCTTATCACACAAAATTGTTGTAAGGATGAAGTGGATAAGAGGAGAATGATGTCAGCTGTTTTGGGTCCCCATTATGAAGAGAGTTGGGGTAAAAAATGAAGTAAATAAAAAATGGATATTGCTGAAACTGGGAGGCAGATAAAAGTGTGGGGGGGGATTAAGGAAGCAACAACAGGTGAGGAGATGAGGGTTGCCAGGAGGGGGGAAAGGGGATACAGCACCCAGCAACTGGGCCTGGCTTGGTAGCCAGCACTGCACAACTGAGCCATTAGTTTTCCCATGTAGTGTCTGCCAAAGAGAGGGAAGAAAGGAAAGCTAAAGACAGAGAAGGCAGATAAAGAAAGTTTGTGTGATGGATGGGAAGGAGAGAAGGAAGCAGGAAAGGGGGGATGCTATGGGGCTGTCAGGGAAAGGTAAAAGGAAATGGGGGGAGGCCGTATATCCCCTTATCCAGTTTTTGTCACAGGTTGCAATGCAGTTCCTGGGTTAACAACTACCCCATGCATCTCAGTCTTGCAGGAACATTGCCTGCAACCTGGTAGACAGACAAGGAGACACCTTCTCCACAGATGTGGCATATGTGGAAGCTCAGTGCATCCACTGCAGCTCCGTGTGTGCAAAGGTTATGCCATTGGCTTGGGGAAAGATGCTCAGCCCTGAGGCTGGACTTTGACTTTTGCTTATGCAAGTGTTGGGAAGGGAATGAAACCACCAGATTCTGTTAATGACTTAAAACTGATTTCTTAGCAGGTGATCACCCCCCACACACTAATCCTTCCTGCCACTTAGTGCCTGAAGAGCCTCATTTGAAACAAACCCTTTGAAAAGCTCATTAAAGGATTTTTGATGGGGACTGGCTGCTCAGGCACCAAAAGGCACCAAAAGGCAGGGAACTCTCTGGGGATTCTCTGAGTCTCCAGTGTCACTTCCACACAATGGCCCCAAATCAGTAATACGGAAAAGAACGCTCTGTGACATTTCCACAAGTCAAACATATGAAAATTGCTTTACAAACCCATTCAGTCTTGGAAGAGCCCCTCCAAAGCAGGCCTGTAGCTGTGGTGGGGCATCTGGGGGCTGGGCCCCCCTGCCATTGAGCCAGCAAGACATGGCACCCAAGGAGCACTCCCCCCTGTGCCGCCATGGCGGAAGACGTGGTGGCAGGAGCAGGGAAGGAGCCGGGTCTTCCTGCACGGCTGCGCTGAGGAGACGGCAGGCAGTGCGAGAGGACCTGGGGAGGAGGCGGCGCGCAGGCTGGAGTCTGGTTTGGAACTTGCTGGGGCTTGCTGGCCTGTTGGGATGGTCCTGGTGCCTTGCAAGTGGCTGGGGCTCCCGTCGGTCCAGGGCGGAGAGAGCAGGGGCAGCAGTCCAAGCGATGCCAGGGCGCCCCCTCTGGGTGGCCAGCTCCTGCCCAGCTGAGTCCTCCTCCTCAGGGGCTCTCCTCCTCTGTTCTTCTCAGGAGTCCTGCAGGGGTGTGGGTGTGGGTGTGGGGTGGGGGTCAGAAGTCTCCAGCCGGCCAGGCCCCAGAGCCTTCCCCCCTCCTGGCTTGGACCACTGCTGCAGTGCAGGCCCCGGCCGGGCAGTGCTCCTCGCTCGCCACTGCCAGTCCTCTCACCGGCGCCAGGGAAGATCCAGGGCTCGGGTTTGGTTCTCTCTCGCGGTTCCGACGGAGGCTGCCTCGGGGACGGCCAGGCGCGAGGGCCAGGGGAGAGGAAGCGGCGGCGGGGGGGAGGCTCGCGCCCCCCTCGCGACATGCCGGCCCCGCCCCTCCCCGCCCGCGGCCCTCCAGCCGGCGTGGCCGACACTCCCCGGGCGGGCGCTCCGGGCCGGCTCTCCTCCACTCGCCGCCTGACGACGGACGCTGCGGCGCCGCGAAGCCGCTTGTCTCCCGCACTCTGGCGCGCCGGCGGCAGGAGGAGGAGGAGGAGGGAGATCCCCGCCGCGCAGGGCTGCGCCCCCCACCCAGGGCCAGGCAAGCAGCCGAGGAGGGCGCCCGCCCCGCCC